CTGTATCGTATTATTCTTTCGTCGATCACCAAGACAGCACGAAAAGCGGATAACAATGCAGCGAAGATCGAGAAACGTCGAGAACTCGTGACCGCTCTCGACGTTTAAAAATCTCATTTGCGCGTCGTCTTTTTTCGATCAGTCTCGGATCGAAAATAGACGCAAAACCGATAATTGGACGCGTTCGGCGCCTGGACGTCATCTGGTTTCGCGCTTCTGCTCGAGTAAAAGAAGACGACGATCCCGGTGATACATGGCGTCGCCCAGAGTAGTACAGGTGTAGCTTTTGTGGATTAATAGAGAGAGCCAGCTCCGCGTGAATAGACCTCTTGTGAGTCGATTAGCTGCCCACGAGCCTATTCCAGACCCCAGGACCCACGCGTTTTCGGTAGGCGAACCTAGGAATTATGCAGCAACACAATCATCCACAGGTATTCCCGGTGACAGAAACGTAGGAGTGATTTTTCTTCTATGGATGAGGAACAGGCCGCGCCCACTTGTTTACCAAGGGCAACAGTTTTACCTGAAGCTTCGCCCGACCTGGCTTAAGTCACAGGACCACTCGCCGCGCCACTCTATTGATTTATTCCGTTCATCTTCAGTCAGTATCAGGGACCAAGGAAAGAAACCAGCACGGCACAATATGTGTTCCTCTAAAAGATGGTTTTCAGGCGGAACCTTGCGAATTCAGTTTCCGTTCAAGCGTAAAGAGAATTTCTAATTCATTGTTCTATGGGTTTCTATTATTCCGTGTGATGACTCCAAAGTTTCTTTCAACATTGGAAAGCGTTACGAAACATGAATGTACATCATCCTATCTGGTATTCGGAAAGAATTTTAAAACTTTGGCAACGATGCGATGACATCGATTATCATGTTAGAATCTTCATTATCGAAACATCGATTAACGGAGTGGATCGATCAACGAAAAATTTGATAGTGATATTGAAATTGGATAATAGGAATTGGAAAGTGAAAGAAATTACTTAGGATTTATTGGAAAGTTTTATTTTTGTTTAATATTAATATCTAGAAAACAGCGTGAAATAAATGTTCTCTCGTGGAAACAAAGTCATTCGATTATCCAAACAGTTCCATTATATGTGAACAACGCGTGTCACGATCGTATAGTTTGAATAATCAGGATTTCGTCGTATTACTAAATTTTATAAAAACCTCTTATAGATTAAATAGAAATGTTTCTGCAATCTGCCACATACGATTAAGATATTTCAAGCTATCAAATTTGACAAGCATAAAGGAAGACATATTTTGTTAACTCCGGAAAGTGGTATAGTCGATCGCTAAGGAAAATTACGTTCGAAACCAACATATTTTACAGATAGCGTTATATAATCAAATATGCCTGCGTTTCGGTCGAGGGTCCCGTAGCAAGAAATTCGAACACCTACGTACGAACAGCGGTTCGTGTTATAGAACAATGGTATATATTCCGAACGCCTCTACCGTGATTATCGTAATAACGCCAGCTCTCCTCGAGCATCCAGCAACCTCTTCAATGATATAGTAATTTGTGGGCCGCCCCGCGACGCGAATACCGATGCGTCCAGCGTCAAATGGCGTCATTCGTTTTCACGACTGCCACTCTTTCTCCACTTGACTTTCTATCACGTACTTTCAATTTTTCATGAAACTACCGACATTCTGCGATACCGTGAAACTTTCACAACGTCTTATCAGAAGGAGAACTCCAGTTGCGGCTCGTTCGTTGCACTTGCTAATGATATCGAAATGCGATGCGTCCGGTTCGGCGCAGAGTGAGTTCTTTTTTTCACGTGAATGAGTTCCACGCGTGTTTCAACAGTCCGTTCCATTATATATATTTTCTAACAACAAGACCGTAATTTATACTACATACGATCTCTGTTATACGTCAAACGCTAGATAGCAGTTAATCTTTTCATGTACGTGCTATATATGTAATTTTTTGAATTTTAAATTGAATCGATCTGCTCGGTATCAGAGACGTGTTGTAACTCGCATCGCTTTGCGATTTGTAATTTTAGTGTATCTACGCGATTGTCAAGTATCTGCGATGATCTTTGTTCTATCCGTATGTGCGTCTTCTGTAACGTTACGTGCACGAGAATCAAGACAGAATAAAAAAAAAGTCGTTTGAATCGAATCTCAACGCGTGAAATGGTAAAAATCGTGGTCGTTTGAACAATATGAGGAGAGTAGATTGGAATCTCCACGATTGTCCCACTGGATAGGAATTCGACGGACGAGGTTGCTTCGTATTTGATTAGGATTCCATCAAGCGAGGTCCATCGTTCATCGGTGACCACCTCGAACGGTCAATATTATCACACGTGCTCAAAACGCCGACAGAGGGACCGTTCTTATATCTGGTCGTCTCTCGCTTCGATCACAATTCGGTTTTAGATCGGAACCATCAGTTGGTACATCTTGCGCGGCACCTGCATCCGATAGGCATATATTTATCCAAGTCCGCCCTTTTCAGGTAGACGATAGCCATTTGAATACACCCGGAGATTCGATGAATCTATTTGCATGCACGCCTCGTAGATAAAGAGGGCACACCTTCATGGGACAGCGAACGCCCCCAGAATTTTGTTTCCCTGGTTCCCTGAAAAAGTACAAGGTCGTTTAAAGGGAAATTTTTACCTCTCGTAGGCAGGCTGGGTGCTTTTAACGCCCGGAGCAGAATTTTGCTTATTCTTACGAAACGAATTTCTATTTAATCCTACAAAATCTTTGAAACATTTTCTTCGCTTGGAAATTGATCATATAAGACGCGGTGAAAACTCGAATAAATGTTCTAGAATACTTTCAGTTCCTTTAAAACTTTGAATAGAAAAAAAGAAGGAATTGATGTGAGTGACTTAATTTACACAGAGAGGATTAAAAACGAAACAAGCTTATTGTTTAAAATTATTTAAAATTATTTGAATGGACGTCGACGAATGGATGTAAGTACACGTTTAACTGGAAAACCATTTTTTGAAACGACAATTTTTGTAACGTACTGAATTTTAAAACTGTCACCCTGTAAAAGCTGGAAATATGATTCGTCGTGCTTTTTTTTTCTACGAAGTCTTTATATTAGCATATCATAGTTTATGCTTGACATTAGATAATCACCGTAGTAAGCTGATGTCACAACATTCAAAATTGCAACCGACGAGTGTAATCGTAGCTATTGAACTCTTTCGCTTCTTGCGTTAAACTATTTCTATCCAGTAAAGCCGTATCGCGAACGAAATTTTCATATCGAAGTGATATTTTTAAAGGGTAGCAGTGAAATGTATAACGACCGAATTATCGCGGTTAGTCGTGACTATACAACACGATGACTGTACACTGTAATCTTTGGACTGCATTTACCCTGCCCACAGAAAGTGGTAACAACTAATAACGCGTCGCGATACGATCGTGAGAAAGCAATTGTCGGGTTCTGCGATAGCAACGATTCCTCCACGAATGTAATGTCTACCATAAAAGATTCGAGGAGGCGATAGTTGGAAACGAATTAGGCATATTCGTAAAAAAAAAAAAAGAAAAAGGAACAAAGAACAAACGAATTGAGAATAATTCAAAGTGCAATTATTCGTGGTGTCGTGTGTATTTACGTTTGAGAAACGTTGGGCCGATCGTAAGGAGGAACCGATTCCGCGACCAAGACAACGGAACATCCGTTTTTTCCACGCATTTTACGATGCTCATTTCCGTTCTCGGTAATGTCACTTCGCATAGTTTTATCTGGTGACCGGTACAACGCGCACGCTCGTAAAACACTTATGACACCCGTAGCATAATAATGCCGCCCGATAGCAGCTATCTTGCCATATAGAAGGCCCACTCGCCATTTTCCTAATTAATGTTTAATGTTCCCGATATCTTGCCCTCTTTACTCACGATTATACCTGAACCGTTGATATCGCGTATCAACGCTCCCAGGCTTTTCTTTAACCCGTACAATCATGGAATCAGGTTAAAATTTGCGTAACTGTTATTCGACAGATAAACAGAAATTAAAGATATTACCGGTTGTACTTTAATCTTAATGGCTTTTCGGTTTTCCTATGAGTCACCCGTAATGGTTCGAATGCGCATCATCGAACGAAATATCGAAACTTATTTTGCTATCATTAGCTAAGCTATCGAGTAAAAATGTACAATTTATACCAACATGTTGACACGTGAAAGTTGTATATGAAAAATACAAAGAAGAGGAACGTTTTCTTATCCATATATCCACTTCACGAAAGTTATCCAAATTCTTAAGAACCGTACGACCGTTATAGATTTATTGAAATTTCTACGAGGAATTCGAAATCGATCGTTTCGATCGTCTTGATAATTTTACTATTAACCCTTCCGCAGTGTGACACGAGAGAAACTCTGGCAAGCTGTTAAATATAGTGTCTACCATCGATTTCGTATTTCAAATCATTCAGACTGAAGAGACACCACTCGCTAGACCTAAACGCTAGATTCAATTAGTTATCTAAATTAATTATATTTACTTATTTATAATACATACCTATAAAATATACTTATCTATAATAAGTATTAACTTATTACACGCCAGAAAAAATTACTGAAAATTCTCAATGCGAGAACTGTTATAAATTGCATATGTTAAATATTGTATATCACATATATTGTAATTATTACCTATTTGCTACAAAGAGTCGCGAATATAGCTATTTTTTATATGTGATATCAGTAATATTAAAGATATCACCTTGAATTTATAAAATTTTTGTGAAATATTTCAAAATAATCACTCATTGTAACAGTGTTGCTACCTAATTACGCATGTACATATGTATTTATCTATTTCAGCCTGATGGCCTAGAAATTAGACGTGGCTTTACACAGTTTATAAATATAAAAGAAAATTAAATAAGCTTACAGATAACTATAATCTATATAATTATGGTACTGCGTAGTTGCCTCAAGGAGAACAATGTTGACAGGCGTTCTAACCAGAATCGTTAATCTGTTTTCAGTCGCATCAGGAGGAGGATTTGTCAGATCCGGACCTTCAGGACGAAGAGAGCGGCGAAGAATTACCTCAGCAACCACTTCAGGGTAACACGCACTCTTCGTCGGATAATGCATCCGCACAGGCTAATACACCTACTCCATTAGCACACTTGAACAGTCTGATGGGTGCACACCATCCGCACTTTCTGGCGAAGCTGAAAATGGAGGTCAGTGGAAAAAAGACGTTTTAACGCTTGGGTCCGTTCTCCAAGACCCTCGATGAATGTCGTGAATCTCTCGTTAAGTGAGAACGTTGTGTTTCGATGAAGATGGGGTAATTACGAGGTCGTTGAAACGTCGAGTAATCGTTTACGTAATTCGCGGTAGAACTTGATCGAGAAAGAACGTTCGTTGATTCGAAAGGACAGATACGAACGACACACGGGCTTTGAAGAATCTTGACAGATTGCTGCAACTCTGTGACTATTATCCGTTACCGAGCTTGGCGCCTTCGTGGCGCTATAGTAACGCGCGTTTCTTTTCGAATATAATAAAACAACGAGACGGTTTTTACGATCTTTACTTTCAACTCGGGATCGTTCCGACTATTTTCCAATGCGAAATTCATCCGTTGTACGCAACTCCTGCTATATGGAATTAGGGCGACATTCGTAGCTTTCCGCGTTTATTATTTTATTCGGTAAAGTTAGGCAAAAGTGGATCGGTGTGATTAATTATTAAAGTATCGCATATACTGCGATTGCAGTTGAACAATTTTTCACAGGCAGCCGATGTGGATGCATTAGCTCATAAAAGCGGATTAGAAGCGTTGCAAGTTGCTATGAGTGGAGCCGGATTCAATCTACCATTTTCATTCCCACCACCTGCAGCGTTCCTAACGCCGCAGCACCACTTGCAAAACAGTCATCCACAAGCGAGTAGTACCATCATGAGCAGCATTGGAAATCAGTTGACATCATCGGCCAGTTCGCATTCCAGCGAATCATCACAGGGTAGCGGTAGAAACGGTGGAGAGCCTCGTGAGACCAGCAATCATTCGCAGAGTAACTCGACGGGCACGAATCACCAGCAACAGACCAGCTGGAGCTTCGAAGAGCAGTTCAAACAGGTGCGTCAGGCAAGTACTATGGATAGCTTTATATACGTATAGATTGTCCTTGTTATCACGTTCATCAACGAATTTGTCGATATCCGCGTCGATCTCGCTTCTACACCTGGAGCGATTGTTAAAAAAGAACGTGTAATTGAAAACAATCGACGTACGGGTCCTGTGGCTTGTTTAATTGCTCCGAAAGTTTAAACACGACCGATATCTGGGCTAACGGGATCTAGGGATCTGGGGTTCGTTATCGCGGGATTTTTAGCACAGCACCCAGGTTATCGCGCTCGTTAATGCTCTTCCTCTGCCGTGAACGTTATCTCTTTTACAACGTGCGAAGGACCTCTGTTTGTCCAAGATTCGCAGCTGAACATCGAAACGGAATAATTTTTTATTTTGATCTTATACTACTTTTAGCTAGTTGTTACTTATGAAACGACAAATGTATTTGTTCTAGTCAGAATTAGTCTTAATTAGTTAGAATTAGTTCTTAGTATTATAGTTCTAGTATTAGTTATTTAGTAAGAATTAGTTCTTTTATTACGTTAGATCTTCCCTATAAAAGCAAAAGCTCCTATTATTAACAATTGACGAAACGAAAATATTTTCATGGTCTCGAAAAGGTTCGGTTTTCGAAGTAGGTTGGATACAAGTAGTCGGTACAAGAATTGACCCTTTGTGGATAGAACGGCTCGAAGTCAACCGTATTTTCGTTCATAGCACTGCAACGTGTCAAATTCTAGACGTATGTACATACACAGATTCTCCGTAGGATAAATAAAATGACACGCATATGAGTGCTTTTGGTTCTATCAGTTGCTTACGCCGAACGCGTATGTAAGTTCCCCGGGCCAAATTGATGATTTACAAAGAACGTATATACACGGCGGTAGTCCGCAAATGGTAATACCAAGGCGTCAAATTCGATTCTCTCTGTCAATCGTGTCAGACGCACGCGCACGTATGAGAATCGCGGACGAGAAAGAATCCTAAACATATTATAAAGCGGTAGCTTTGTGGGACAGTTGTTAGCGGCACAAGGGACATGTAATCACGAGCGGCAAGCGTTCGTGCAAGCAAAAGAGCTGGAAAGAAGTGGTCCATAGGTGACGGGTTCAATTAATGCAACGATGGGAGCTAATTATTATTTTTACACGCGCGGCAGATAATTACTGGCCGACCGTCCTCGAATCCTATCGTCTCAGTTGACAGTATCTTCCTCCTGAATGCGCGAGAAGGACAAAACGATCCACAACACGATCGAGGCTGAATGGGAAGAAGAGAACGAGAGAAATGGACGAGGATTGGAAAAGAAAGGTAAAAAAGAAAAAAGAAGGGTAGAGTGGAATAGAATTTGAAAACAGCGTCACGTGAGATAAAAGCAGAGACGTGGAAGGTTGGAAGGGTTTGGAGTTATAGAATAAGCTCGGACGCGCATCGGAGCCTTGTTAATGCTTTTTGTCTCGTGGCCTTTACTCGCGTGGATATTTTTGCTTGCGGTCTGTCGGCCAGTCAGCCTGGTTCGGTGTTAGCAGCGGTGGTTTTCAGTTTTTGCAAAGAGGGTGTGGTGTTGGATTACCATTTAGATTGTTCGCGCGCGCCATACGCCGATCTTCTTCCACAGCCTGTGACAAACCTACTTGCTTCATGAACCTTCGGGGGAAGAACGAAAACGCCTGTGGTGCGCGTATACGTCTCCCTCCGTTCAGCTTTCTTGCACTCTTGCCACCGTGTTTTCTCTTTTTCTTCCTCTTCGGCGGTAGTTACCTCACCGTTCGTCCCTTGTCGATCGTTTCGTCCTCGAAGAGTATAGGAAAGAAGTATGACCGAGAATTTTCTGTATTTACCGATACGCTTTAGCTTTCTCTCTCTCTCTTTTGATCTTTGAAGTCTGAAAACGTCGTGTCAGGGGCTGTTCTCATAGAGAGATCGAGCCCGAGGTTCGATGTCAAGGAGACGGGCCGAGCCTGCGCGAGGCGTATCGCTGATTAAAGCGTAGGGACGACGAGAGAACGCGAAAGACGAACGGTAGAGAGACGAGGAACAAGCGTAGGAATGAAAATGGAAGTCTCCACCTACTCGAAGAGCGGCGCCCGCGTCTCACGGATCGCATCCATCATTCCGGTGGGGGCGTACTTGCCGGGTCTTTAATCTTTCTTCTTAGCGAAGATGGTGGTTCCTTGCCTTCTCTCCCTTAGGTGAGAGAATCTTGCCCCTTTTTCGATGCTGACACGACGCTCCACGTTCTCGCAACTCTCGATCTCCTGCACCAAATTTAACCTAGCATGCTGCGAACGTTGTCGCCCCTCTTGTCGCTTTTCCATCGATTGGAATGCAATTGAAAGCGTCGACTGGGGCAAAGTTATGGCTGTCGTTTTCCGTCTGCCGCTTTCATTCGTCGCGATTGAAATACGGAGCAATACAAATGATTTCACGCGATGTACGCGACTCGCGTCCTTTTTGCTGCCATTCTAGCGATCGTTTCATCGCAATTCGTTCGTTTTATTTCGATCTTGCCACGTAATCGCGCTACGATCTTTCGATTACGCGAGCCTCTGACGATAATGCCGAATATTAAAGTTCGACTCGTGAATTATACGATCCTGTATTAATAGTCAACGCTAGATTTACGATCAGGAGATTTTTGTAGTTCTTTTCACAATATGTTCATGATTGCGCAACAATTCGTGTAACGATCGTGCAACCAATAAAACGGAGTATCGCAATCGTTAACGCAGCATGAGGATTTATAACACTCGGTAAATATGCTTCTTGTGATCGGTTTGTTTCTCTCAGCGATAACTTTATTACGAAATCGTCCATCTAACGCTTGTATCAATCGCGCAATCGATAAGTCGAGCAACTATGAACATTAGACGAAAAAGTGTATGCGTTGCGACGTTTTTGCACACCTCTCCCCTCTCCCTTCGCGAACGTTCTACGAAAATCGTCAATTACCATCGACGATCATTCCCTTCGTGTTTATCGCGTTATTCGCGACTTCTCAAGATTCGACCCAATCTTCCAAGCTAGCAATTTGCGAACGTTAGACTAAACCGTGATTTCGTTGTAATTAATCGCCCCTCGAACTTCCTACCGATATTCTCAATCACCGTTGATAATCGTTCCATTGACATTCAGCTTACTAGAAAGAATCATCGTCGACGTAACTCTAGCGTTCTGGGCAACCTTTCAACCTCCGACGAGGCGCTAACGAGGCGCCAGGATAAAAGTATCCAAGCTTCGACGAGTTTATAGTTCTCAGTTGTTTTCTCGAAACTGAATAGGAGGCTTTTCTGTCGAAGACGAAAGTCCGTTTCAATAAACCAGACCGGCTGGTACGTGCACCCATGGTACACAGACAGCGAGCCACCGATGGCTAGGAACACGATCCTCCTCGTCTCCGAGTTGCAACTTTAACTGCACCTACACGTATCTTGCCGCGCATCATCCCTGCTCGCACCACCGTTCACTGACCGTGCACTCCAGCTATCACGGCCAGTATAATACTGTAGCACTATACTTTGCAGCCATTGTGAAATAACTCGTAAAGCTGCAAATTGCCGGGTATTTCGCTGCCATATACCGACGTGTGTACCGCGGCTCTTTACACGGTTTCGCGACCGTGTTAGTGCATGCGTCCAGAGCCAGCGTAATGCACACCCACGAGCGTGTTCTCGCTCGTACTTACACGATGCTTCGGTTAGGTGTGTCGGTTCGAACAGCTTCGAGTTCTTGTAATCTATGCATACGCGCGTCCGTGCATGTGTATATCTTATACACGTATAACCATGCAGGATACGTGTATCAGCCGGTGGATCCTTCTCGCGTTATCATTGTGATTATGCAAATGCGTTATCATTATGCAAATGCGCCGGCACGTTTAAACGCGGCCCACGATTCGTGCGTGGTCGTTTGTCGTCGCTGCTGTCCCAGCTGATGACTGGAGATCGCGGGTGCGAATCACACCTTGTCGCGAAACTTTTTGGCAGAAAACGGGGAGGAGCTGTTGGCGTCGTTGAGATCGCTGGTATTCTCATTGTACGTGTCGTTTATACGTTATGTATACTTAAAGAGAATTACGAGGCAATTGTATTATTACGAAGGTTCTTTCGCACCTTGTTCGGGCTCATATTTCGTAGAATTTGACGAGTTACGAGTCGTAGATCAATGGTACTGGTCGATTTTATCGTATAACAGTAACGTTCGATCAAATGAGATCCTACGACGAAAGTTTGTAAATTACAAATTATTTCGTTATTTCGTTCGATGTGGAATTGTGTAAGATTGTAAAGGGATCTATAAACTACAACCTGTAACTCGTCGATTCACCGATATTAATCGGTAAATTATTGTGCAAGAAGGCTCTGACGATGTTTTTGCTGCAGAATAAACATATGCAAAGTTAAGTGCACGGCTCGTTCAGTCAATTAAATTCCAAGCTAAGTGGATAATAGGCCTTATATCGCAGGAATGTAACATAAAAACACTTATTTATTCAAATGATTACAATTAGACTGCGGATCTCTGTGAAATTTTATATTCCTACGGACATAATTCAAAATATGGAATCTAAACGGAAAGTTCTTTCGGCTACCGAATCGTCGTGGTAAATGCTCTACTTTAAATATCGCGCTTTGTAGATTTTTTGAATCTTAGATTTCTCCCAAATGCGTAAACATTCGCGGTGTAATTACATCGATGCGATATCGATTAGTTATTCGAAGCTCGAAAAATTGCAGACGATGTAAAAAGGAAATCGGATAGAGAACCGATTATCGTTAATTATCAGGCCATTACCGCGGGAAATCGTAGCTCGCGAACACGGAATAACGCAAATAATAGTTCAGTTTTTCTTCGCGCGTTTGCGAAACAAAGCCTGGCCTCGCGAGTTTCGATGGCCTTGCGATATGGAAAGTTGGACGAGCACAAAAGTCGCTTACGAATATTATACGACGCTTGCACGACACGTGTGCTCCTACGTATCGAACGTTTTGTAATTATCAAACGTAGAGAAA